GCTGGACGTGGTGACCCTTAAAGACCTGCGGAGCAGAGGCTTGCCTGGGCTGAGGCTGAGCCGGCGGAGGTGAAAGGAAACCATGTTTCCGCCAGGGAAGGCCAGGTGGGGCTTATTCAGGTCAAGGGCTGCAAGACGCTCCACAGCTGCAGCCGATAGAAGACACCTGGCTTTACCTTCCGCGTCTCCCACCCCCTCACCCTATAAAAGAATAACCCTGGGGACGGCTCAGGTGTGTTCTCCATCGGAGACGTCCTGTCTACCTGACCCCTGCTTTTCCTCACTCGCGTGTCTCTGTGTCTGTGTAATTGTTCTTTGCCAAGTCCACTGCTGCTCCCCCTCTTGGGGGGCTCCTCAATTTTGCCTAGCAGGTCTCGGCATTATCCCTTCTCCATTCTTCTTTTGGGACTGTGGGTACACACACATGCCTGGCATGATTTTCAAACATCTAGGGCCAGGACTCTAAGCGCCGTCTACCACGGGGATAGTCCAGCACCCTAACCACTAAGCCACCTGCTGGCCCCCAATCCTTCCTCTATAGACAAGGAAGCTGAGCTAGGGGGCTTGGGAGAGCAAGCTGCTGGCACCCAGGTTAGAAACCAGGTCTCAGATGCCTCCTCAGAGGCACAGAGACAGAGGCATGCACAGCTCTTGGCAGGAGAAGGATCTCCGAAAGAATGCCTCCCCTAGCCCTGAACGCACTCTCGCTCCCTCTGCCTAAGGAGGCAGTCAGCATCGCTGGTCAAGAACTAGACAGCCCGGGACCAGCAGTTAGCGTAATGGCTATGTCGCTGCATTCCCACGTAGTCGACCGTGGTTTGAGTCCCGGACCCGGTGGCTTAAACTCACGCCGGGTGCTTGTGCGTGCGTGCCCAAGATCTATAGCCACTGGTGTGTGAGAAATATGCACTGAGAATGGCTAGATGAGTTTCCCTCCTGCAAGATCCGTCAGAGCTTTCCCTGGGCCCCATACACCATGGCCCACAAAGGGAGTGACAAACGCGGCGTTTCCGAAGCCGCCCTGTGCTGAAGCATGTGCACACACGTCTAGAATGTGGGTGCTCGGCTCTCAGGACACACAGTAGGTCGTGGCCTAGAGTCAGGAGAACCAGCTCCATCACCTATTTTCTTTTTTAGAATTTTTTTGGTTTTGCTATAGGGCACATGTGCTTGGTGGAGAGAGAAATGAGAGAGAGAGAGAGAGAGAGACAACAATCCCGGGGGTGGGGGTGTGGGATGGCCACAATCCCTTTTCCTTCATTTTCCTCTTGGGATTCTGGGCATGCATGCACAGGGTTTTCAAGCTACAGGGTCCAGGCCTTGAACTGCACAGCCAGCCCTGTGGGATCCTCTGGTTGCCACGCCCGAACCCCCCACCCCCCTACACACACACCGGCAGCCTTTTAAAAGCCAGTGTCTATGAGCCCTCCAGGAAGCCCTCAGCCCCGAGTTCCTGCCGGTCCCTCTGGCTGTACCAGGGTCCCAATGAGTGGTTATGTCTTCTCTGCCTCACTTACTTGTTAGCTTCATCCACAACCTGGACCCTCCGAGGGTCTGGTGGGCCCTGGTAGTCCTTGGCCCACTGAAATTCCGAGGAGTCGGGGGCATCAGGGGCTTCGAAAGCCAAGTAGATAAAGCCGTCTTCATCCACTCCCACCTCGATCTCCCGGGCAGCTGAAGGCAAGATCCGACAGTGTCAGATACGTTTAAGTAATACAGCAGGTCATGCCCGACCCTGCTTAAGCCCTCCAGTGGCTGCTCCCTATACTACAATACCATAATAAACCTTTTCTTTTAAAAAGATTTTTGCTGTAGGACATGTGCACTCCCTGTAGAGACAGAGACAGAGAGATGGAAAGTGAGAAATCACCCCCAGGGGGATGGTCATGCTGCAATCCCTCCCCTTCCATCCTCCTCTCGGAATTTTGGGCATGCATGCACACGCACCCGACATGAGTTTCAAGCTACCAGGTCTGGGACTCGAACTGCAGTTGGCCATGGGGGAGTGCAGTGATGTAACCGTTATACCACCTGCTGGTCCCTAGAACCACACTCTCTGCTGTGACCTCCAAGTCCTTGCATGATCCAGCTGCTTCTCCACTCAGACATCACCTCCTCAGACCGGCCCTGCCTCACTGCCCTGGCTGAAGTCCCGGGGCATCCCACATCATACGGCATACCGTACCGTACCGTACCGCCCACCGTGTCAGGTGGCACTTGGCACCATGGGCTGGTTTGCTTGCTGCCCTTCCCCGCCCTGCACTCCCCACCCTCCTGCGCACACACGCGGGGCAGGCGAGGCAGGGACCTGCTGTGCTCCTTCTCTGCCATATCCCTCGTGCAAGGCGCGCATCAGCGGGCCAGCCCCCCAAACGTCGGTGGTGGTTGAAAGGATGAATAATGAAAAGAATGGAAAGAAAGCAAAACATTCAGCGACAAAATAAAGTGGAGAATGCTCTGTGGGTGACCGTGTGCAGTCGTTCCTTTGACTGGGCTAACGTGGGGGGAGGGTATTCACGCTGGGACTATCCATTTCTGGTAAAGATATCTAGTGATTGAGTGTAAAATACGAGGGAAAAAGAACGGAGTGAGAATGCCGTATAGTTAGGGGGCTGAGCGGCCTGCCCCGTGACTGGATCGGAACCTCTGGGTGCTGTAATGAAATCCATTTAGAAGAAGGGACAGCGATCCTCCCCCAGGGCCTATGGGGGTGGACCCCTGGCAGGCCATGACTGGATCAGAACCTCTGGGCGCTGTAATGAAATCCATTTAGAAGTAGGGCCTGGGGGAGGATCGACAAGTGGGTGCAGCAGGAGGGGACCTCAGGAGTCGGCCCCACGGCAGGACAGGCAGAACCAGGTGTGGCCCCTGAGGGGAGCCGGGCGTCCTTACAGATCTGTGAGGAGTCGTGCGAGTCTGTACACACGGCATGTGAGAGAACAGGAGAAGCCACGTGAGGTGTACCCAAATCTCGGGGCACACAGAGGTGAACAGGGTGGGCAGGACGGAGAGAAGCAGGGGAGGCAGATCTGGAGGGGTGTGGAGTGGCCGGGGCGTGGAGCGGGCCCAGCACACTGGGCTCCCCTGCGTGAGTCCTCATGCTTCTCCTGACTCCCCTCTGAGCTCCAAGCAGTGCCACGCTGTCCCTGGCCACCCTACCTGGCTTGTCCTCCAGGAGCACGGGGTCGGTGGGCATGGATGGCTGTCCGAGACCAGCCACATTCACGGCCTGCACCTGGAACACGTAACTCCTTCCTGGCTGCAAGTCAGACACCTGGGGACGAGGCAGGAGCAGCTCTGAGGACAGCAAAGACTCGGCCTCAAACCCCTAGCCACGGTGCAGGGGGCCCTGAGGAGGCGTGGGCTGCCGGGGGTGGGGCAGGCGAGCAGCTTGTCTGTCTTCTGAGTACCAAGCTTTTTTTTTTGGAGAGATTTTCGCTATAGGGCGTGTGCGCTCGCCAGACAGAGAGAGACAGAGAGACAGAAAGCAAGAAATCACCCCCCAGGGGGGATGACCACGCCGCAATCCCTTCTCTATTCTCCTCTCGGGATCTTGGGCACGCACGCACACGCGCCCGGCGTGAGTTTTAAGCCACCGGGTCCGGGACACGAACCGCGGTCGACTACGTGGGAGTCCAGCGACATAGCCATTACGCTAACTGCTGGTCCCCAGTGCCAAGCTTTTAGAGGCCTTTCGCCTGATCACTCCTCCTGGGCTCTGCGACCTCACCACTTGAAGCCGAGCTCATCACCCGCGGCCCCTCTTGGTCTCTCCACGTGATACCGCCACCCGCCGAGCCCTCCGGGGAGGCCTGGGCTTTCTTTCGTGGACATCCTTTCCTTGGGCCCTCCCCACGCAGCCACCGAGTCCGCCCATCTTACTGCCCCACATTCCGGAACGTGGCTGCTCCCTCCAGGCCCAGCCACGGCCTGACGGAAGCTTTATTTCTCCTCACTGGATTGCCTCGCAGTTTCCCAGGCAGCATCTCGGCCCCTGGGCCCTTCCTCGCAGCCTCTCTCTCCCTGTGCCAATCTGTGGATGCTTAGAGCTGTCAGAGGCCTTCAGGGGCAAGTTCAAAGTTCGAGGGTTAGAACCTAATGTCTTCTACTCTGGCCTTGGCCTCTGTCCTCTTCCTCCTCTGTGTGCCCCCTTCACGCCCTGGCTTGTTCGGAGTCCCCAAGTCCATCACGCCACGCCACGCCACGCCACGCCACGCAAGAACATGTGCCACGCCACGCCACGCCACGCCACACCATGCCTGGCTGCCCTTGGCCTCGCTGAGCCCTCTGCCTGGAATGCCCTCCCTCCCTGGTGGAGCTGACTCCAACCCAAGCTTCCCTACCCAGCTCCGCCACGTGCAGAGCTCCCAGGAGGTACCTCTGAGCCTCCTCTGGGCTGAGTCCCTCGGCCCCCTCAGTCATTTGTTCCCGTCCGTAATTGCCTGCTACCCACCAGCTGTGCCTTACTTAGCTGTTCCTGTCTCGGACCTGGTCCAGACCTGGCCCTGAGTAGGTGTCAAGAAATGTTTAGTGAATGACGGGCCGTGTGAGTGGCCAACTGTGCACGCGCAGAAACCAGGGCCAGGTCATGGGCCGGTCCGGCCCTGCAGGGCAGCCGACGTGGGCAGGTGGGGAGACCATCGTGCGGTGCCCTGGGGCTGGCTGCCCGGTACTGGCGCTCTGCCCACTGCAGGAGCCTGGCCCCGGAAGCTGCAGAATCTCAGAGGCCCCACTGGCTGAGGCCTGCCTGTCCCACTGCTATCTCAGGTGAGCTGAATTTCATTTTTTTACCAAATTATGTAAATATTTTTCTGATGATAAAAGAAATACATGCTGTGGGGGGGGGGGCAGCAGTTGGCATAATGGCTATGTCTCTGGACTCCCCTGTAGTCGGCCACGGTTCAGGTCCTGGCGCGTGTGCGTGTGTGCCCAAGATCCCAAGAGGAGAATGGAGGAGAAGGGACTGTGGCGTGGCCATCCCCCCTGGGGGGGTGATTTCTCGCTTTCTGTCTCTCTGTCTGGTGAGCGTATGTGCCCTATAGCAAAAAGCTCTCTAAAAAAAAAAAAAGAGAGAGAGAGAGAGAGAGAAAGAAGAAAAAAGAAAGAAAAAGAAATGCATGCTGGTTGTGAAGAATTTGAAGTAATAGAAAAGAAAATACAATGAAAAGCTGAAGCCCCTTGGCAGTCTCACACCCAGAGGGGACCGGAATGAACGACGTTTAGGCTTTGCAGAAACACGATGGGAGCCGTATTCTCCTCGTCAGAGTCATTCTTTCCGCATCACTCTGTGCTTCCTGAACTTGCCTTCTTTTCCACTGGCCCCTGCTAACCGTGGGCTGCGAAACCGCACACCCTCCTGCCCGTGGCGAAAGGCGTCTCAGGACAGTGATTTGGAGGAACACCCCCTCTTTGCCTAGAGCTGCAGAAAATGCAACCCAGCCCACCGCACGGAACCATCCTTGCGAAAGTTCCTTAAGTCAGGGAGGCCCATGAGACACACAGCTTCAGGGTGAACGCTAAGGACTGTGACAGGCCCTCAGTGACCTGGAAGTCTGTAAGTCCGATTGATCGACTAGTCACTAATTTGTGTCTAACGATGCTTCACGTGATACTTTTCCCCTCCTTAATTTGCCAGAGGGTGTGTGCACCTGCTAGAGAGAGACAGAGAGAGAGAGAAGGCACCCCTATGGGGCATGGTCACGCTGCCACCTCGTCTCCATTTCTCCATCGTGTGGGGATCTGGGGAGCTCACGTGTGTGCCTGGCATGTTTTCGAGCCGCTGGGACTGGGGATGGAACCACGTGGTCAGCCATGTGGGGATCTGGCTGCCTTAGCCACTAGGCCATGAGTCTGGCCGGACATCTTTGTTTGCTGACACGTGTAAGTATTTGTAGTCTTTGCTATGACGGGGAGGGTCGTGTGTGCTTTCCTGTCCTACCCGTGTGGAAGTTAAAACCACCACCTCCACAGGGGAAAACAGAGATTCGCCTGTATTTCCTTCTTTAAAAAAATGCTATCAGGTGCATGCTCTCACCAGAGAGAGAGAGAGAAGGAGAGGGAGAAATCAGCCCCCGAGGGGTGGTCTTGCCACAGTCCCTTCTCCTCCATGGTCCCCTCAGGGTGTGGGCATGCGCACACGTGCCTGCCATGTTTTCTAGCTGTTGGACCTGGAACTTGAACTGCGGAGTTGGTCGTGTGGGATCCAGTCACCTTTACTGCCACGCCACTGCCTGGCCCTCCATTATTTATCCACAGTCTTTAGAGTGCTAAGAACCCGATCTGCTTACGTGTCCCTGGCTACGTACATGTCTACGGCATGTATGTAGGTCTACGCTGTCCTGGAGGAGTCCAACCCGGTGGGGCTCCAGGACCCGTCTGAGCCCCTTGACCTTTGAGCATCGATTCCGGTCGGTTCAGTGAGTTGGCAAGGCCGCGACTGTACGCCCCCCGACCTTGGAACAAGCTTGGGTCACTTAGCATGTTGGCAAGGCCGCCTGCTATTCGCTCCGGGACTGTGATAGCCTTGCTGGGAAGTGACCCCCCTCTGACTCCCCGATATACTACTATAAAAGAATTACATAGCTCCCTCATACATCTTGAGTGTGTGGTAAGATTTCCCGAAAAGTCCCCCGACCGCTCCCCTTTACCCTGACCACTTACTGTT